TCTATCGACCTTGAGAAAAGCTATATTTCTCATGATTAAGCTAAACCAATTTGTTCAACGTATAAACCGGAAAATGATGAAAAAAAAACTGGTTACCCTAAAGTTCTGCCGATTATTTCTTTAAAATTATTTTTAATCAACAGAAAAATAAAATCTGTTTTTATGGTGTGCAAGAAATGTAGATGTATAAAATAGAGATTTTACCAAACTTCATTTCAGTTCAAGCTTTAAGGACCTCTTGAAACAGTACCAGTTAAAAACAATCACATTAGTTAATCACTAATATTTGTATTTACAAATAATAACATTCTCTAGCAAGCATATGCCTTATATGTGCTTTTACACCATTTCTCTCTTAAAGGGTCAATACACCATGGAAACGTGCAGTGATCCTAACCATAGTCCCTGTCCACACAAGTACCCTGGCCCTATTCCCTATTGAAGCTCTGTTAAGGGTTCTCTAATGGCTGAAGACATTCATCTAAATTGTAGAAGCCAGATGCAAAGTATGCTGGTCATTTACTGGCTGAGAGCATCAGCTAAGCACTCTCAGCTAATGAGTGGCCCTCTGTGCAAACAACTAGGCTCAGACTTGATATTGGTCAGCCTTGTACTCTTGTTTAAAGGGGTTAAACTCTGTATGTGCTGTTTATCACTGTAAAACACTGCACATGCAGACTCCAGTCACCATGGTCACACCATGTTAGTTTTTTCTTGGTGTAACCATTTAATGAAGTAGTTTTGGTGCACAGATCATACAGTCTCACTACTAAATTCCACGGTCTCCCTACACACATTCTGAAAAAATGCGTTTGACAGGCGTACATAAAGTATCCTGGAACTTATAGTCCTGTCCCTGTCCAGCTCACTGTTGATTAATACAGATGTTGAAAACTATGAACGTGAGGGCACTTTTAAATGATATTTGCACATGCACATGCTAAAAATGCTACATGGAATGTTTTTTGTTTCTTTTTTTTATCGTTTTTATGGTAATATCTCAGTAAAGATTACGTATGGAAATAAAATGTTTATCTGATGTCCAGTTCATTCAGTATAGCAGAGTGTATTTACGTTAGAAGTTCTTATCTCCTGCTCTGTTAATTGCCTGCGAGTGCAATGCATTTCCTGTGTTAAATTTAAATTCTCACACAAACCCTCACAGGCAGAAACAAGAACCAAAAAACCACATCTTTGGGCCATTTATCAACACTATGTATTTTATGTTATTTATTTAAATTTGACAATTTTTATTGTTCAGTTTAACAGTAATAACACATGTTGCATTGCATACGGTGATACCGTTATTTTGGCTGATACATTGTTATATCGGTACATTACAAATGCACTAAGGAATAAGGTACATAAATTAGCTTTGTGAACAGTGAAGTAGTGCATAACAATAAGGCACCAAAACGTGTTTTACATAAGGTACTTGAACTGAACTTCTTTTATGAATAAAAAACCAAAGAAGAGGGGAAGGCTTTGGAACCAGTGCCCATTGGCTATTAGTTTGGGTGTTCTTGGGGTGGAGAGTGACCTGGTCAGGCTTTTACACTGCCTATGTTGGCTGTGTGGGAATGAGAGATCCCTGGTGGCTCGGTGGCTCTCAGTCATCATTCCTTGACTGGCTCTGCTATATTCATGATTCAAGACCTAAATCTGCAAGTAGCTAATAATAAATTTAATTTATTACAGTGCATGTAGTAATAGGGCCACATACCTAGTGTTTCATTGTTACTTGCACTCAACTGGGTCTTGCCTTTTGTTATCATGGTCTGAGTCCTGGCTGCTCAATCACCCTTCGGGTTGGACGGTCATGTTATCATTTATTTGGATTTGTCTCTCCCCTCTGGAGCCGGAGAAGCTTGGTTTGCCATTCTCATTAGGCAGTTATTCCACATGGTGTGGGCTAGGCCCATGTGTTTATTTTTTCCAAATTGTAAGGCAAAAATAGTTTTGTATGTTCAGTTGAGTGTGATTTGGTGTAGGAGCGCCTCTCGGGTGGGTGCTGCTGTTATTTTCCATAGCATAGCTATTACCAAGGCTGCTGATATTAGGATCTGGTACATGGCCACCAATTTAGTGTTGGGTAGCTTCTCAGGTGGAATGAACAGGATACATAGCTCTAGGATCAGTGAGACCTGTGTCATGGTTATGTCTTTAAGAATGTCCCCTACGTCCTGCCAAAAGGGTTTGAGGATCTCACATATGTGCTTCATAGTGCCTATCTGGTTCCCCTATCTCCAGCACTTGTCTGTAGACTGGGGCCAGATGTGGTGGATCCTAGCTGGTACCAGGTACCAGCGGTATAGCATTTTGTGTTGGAGCTCCAAATGCATTGAGCATGATGTTACCCCTCTATGGGATGAATATACTTTTTCCCATTTTTTGTTTGGTAATGTTCTGCCTAGTTCTAGGTGCCATGAGTGAGTGTGTGTGTCATTTGTCGAGTCTATGGTTTGTGTGAGTAGCTGATATCCTATAGATATAATTTTCTTCAGTTCAAAGTCAGACATTGGTTCTTTCAGATTGGCGTGGTGTTTACAGAGTTTGTGCATGGTTAAGTATGATTTTATCTGTAGGTATGAAAAAAGTAGTTTGGACAGGAGGCTATATTCTTTTTAAATATCTGGGAAGGGCTTTATGATGCCTTCTTTATAATGCTGTGCCACTTTGTGTATGCCCCCTTGTATCCATGGTCTCTTATCTAGGGTTGGGATCAGGGTTGTCAATGTGTCCATCGGGGTAGCCAGTAGTACTGGGTGATAGTTGACTAAGTGCCTCTTTGATGCGTCACAGTTGTGCAAGGTCTATTGTGTTGTGGGTAGGAGGTGGCTCGTGTCAGGTCTGTGTGGCTCAGGAGTCTAAAATAGTGTATGTAGGCACATTAGCTTTTGCCAGAAGGCTTCTATGTCTAACCACTGGGGTGACGTGGGTCGTACCTTGAGTTGTGGTACGATGGTGAGGGCTGCTGTTCTTTGGTATGATGCTATATGTGGGAGCCCTAAACCTCCCTGTGCTGGCCTCCTCTGTATGAGTTTTGTTGTGACACTGACTTTTTTATTTTGCCATGTGAATTTAACTATTTGCTTTGATAGTGTCTTTGGGAATTTCTTTCGCAGGGGAATCTGTAACGTTCGATATAAGTATTGTAATTTTGGTAGAAGGGTCATTTTAACGAATGAATGAATTTAATGAATACCTTAATTAGCTTTGAACAGCTTGGTCGGAGTTTTAGTCATCTTTATGCCCAGGAATGTTAAAAAATCATCTCACCAATCCAGAGGGAAAGCCCCCCTGAGGTTTTCCACCTGTGAACCCCCATTGCTTGCGTTTTAGTGACAATGAGTTTATAATATGAGAGTCGTCCGTATGTTGTGATGTGTTTCATGAGGTTGGGTAGTGATATGTGCGGTTGTGTCAATGTTAAAAAGACATTGTCCGCAAAAAGGCTCAGTTTATATTTTGCGTCTGTGTTTAACAAGGATATTGGCCTAAAATTGGGGCAGTGTGTCGGTTGTTTACCCAGCTTCGGGTGCATGATGATGTGTGCTAATAATATTTCTTTAGGTAGGCTTGGGGGGAGGAGTTGAGCAGGGATGTTAGGGGAGGGGTTAGGAATGATTTGAATTGTTTATAATATAAGTTTGTGAACCCGTCTGGGCCTGGGGCTTTATTGGGTGGCAGTGATTTTATAGTCTCTTTGACTTCCATGGTCGTGATGGGGGCCTGGATGGTGGAGATTTGTTCTGTAATGAGCTTCGGTAGGTCTATGTTCTAAAGGTAATCTGTGATTTCCTGTTTGGTTGGTTTGTGTGTTTGGTCAGGTTGCACTAGGTTGTAAAGCTTTTCATAGTATGTTGCTTTTCTCTATAGGTGATATCACTTTTTCATTGTTGGAGGTGTATGTATATGGTATTCTAGTGCTTTAGTCTTGCTGTCACTGCTTGCCCTTGCTTTTAGCTTGCAGGGAGTGTAACCTACCTGTTGTAATGTGTGCGGTTTCATTTTGTTTGTGATGTTATTAATTTTGTTTTGTAAGGCTTCTTCTGGTTGTGCTTTATTTTGGTGTTTGGGGCATATACGTTAGCAAGCGTGTATTTGGTATTGTTGCAGACCACTACCCGGTATCTACCCTCGGGGTCTATATAGGATTCATGGTGTTGGAATGATACATTGTTGCTTATCATGATTGGCATTTTGTCCTGAAGTGGCTTCATATTGATTTGTATAGAGGGACGATTTAAGAGTGGGGGGTGTCTTTTGGTGGCAGATTATGTCTGGTTGTGTAAGATCTCGGAAAAGGCAGTGTGTTTTAAATGGAGTGTTTAGACCCCAGACATTATGGCACTGTATTTTCATTTCATATAGTTAGTGTGTTATGATTGCTTCTGGAAGCTTGAGTTTATTGTGGGGTACTCTTTTACCCTGAGTGTATCTCAGTGCCCCACCCTTATTTAGGGCAAGGAGATACACCAGGCTCGTCCGGTATGCAGCATGGGGCAGATCTTTGGGGCAGTTCTTTATGTTGGGTTCTTTATGTTTCTACACATGGGGAGGGGTAGAGTGTGAGAGGCAATAATGGAATGAGCGATACTGAAGGAGTATGGCTAATGTAGTTATCACTATTATAACCCAGATATGGGTGTTGTACCTGCATGCTAGGTATCATGTGGGAGCGTGGTAGTGCGTAAATCGAGTTGATTCGGGGGGTGTTGATCGACTCATTTCTTACACTATGACAGGTAATTGGCTTTTTCTCCTCCTATCTTACCCTTTTACTTTCATGATTGAATGGTCACACCCCCTTGAGTATCAACAGTTCCCCTGCATTGGTAAATGACGTAATATAACATAAAATAGTACACAATAAAAACATTTAGCAAATATCTACAGTTGTATTTTTGGAAGGTTAACGTGCCTGCATAGTACTTAGGTTCCTCTTCACTAGATTTATGTCTTGGGACATGTTAATATCAAGGACAGGGGACTTGTACCTTGTACCGGTGTGGGTGCGCCATCATCTGATTAGTGGCATTATGTGTTGGTTGCGTGTTAGTGTGTCCTAAACTAGCAGGTATGGGTTCGGGGATATCCCCCTGCAATCGTCTGGAATTAGTTAGGCCTCTGAGTCGGTCATATGCGGGGCTGTGGCGGTATTCAGCGTTCTTATGAGTTAAACTGATAATGGAAACAAATAAAAAACATGTTAGCTACTAAGTGACTGTTCACCTTTAAGTGCCAACTGTTTCTTTGCATTGGTTAGTGACATTATATAACATATAACAGTACCTAATAACAGTTATCTATATCTACGGTTTTGTGTTTGGAAGTTGGGGGTCTTGTACCTAGTTCAGAGGCGTGTGTGTTGCTCACTGAGTAGTGTCTTTATGCGCTGGTTGCGCATCAGTGTGTCCTAAAATAGCGGATTCGGGGGTAGTCCCCTACTTTCGTGCGAAACTAAGTAGGCCTCAGATTTGCCAGCGCGTGATGCTGTAGCCGTATTCATTACACTTATGAGTTAACCTTAATAATTAAAAACTACACTAACCATGTTAATTAATGACATTGTCAATTTCAGACTAAGCGTGCAGATAGGATGCAGTCAAGGTGCAAGGTAAGACTCACACCTTATTGCACCCTTTCGATAGCAAGTCCATTCTAAATTCCACTCTCTCTCTGTCTCTCGGCTCTGTGGTGGGCCTTCAGCTTCAGGTGCGCGCCCTTGGAAGGTTGTTGATGGTTGTTGCCTTGCGGCTGAAGTTGAATACCCCATTTCTTCAGGGTTTTTCTACCTTCTTCGGAAGATGCGATGGTGTGCAATGTCCCGTTTGTCTCTCTATGACCAGGCGGATGGGGTGACCCCAGCGGTAAGGCATATTTTGCAGTCATAAAGCGTTGGTGATTTTATTATATTCCTTTCTTTTCTGGAGCGTGAGGGCAGAGAGGTCTGTGAAGAGCTGCACTGAGCGGTAATGGTTGGGGAGATCCTTGGTTTGTCTGGATGCCTTCATTATTGTTTCCTTTGAGTGGAAATAATGCATGTGAGTGAGTAAGTACATCTTTGGGAGCTTTCTCTGATAGAAATTTGGGTCTTGTGACCCTGTGAGCTCTGTCCATTAGCAAGACGTCTATGGGAAGGTCAGGAGCCAGTTTTTTGAAATACCCTGTTAGGTATTCAATGAGGTTTGGTTACTTCACCATTTGTGGAATGCCACACAGTCTTATGTTTTGTCTCCTGGACCTGTCTTCCAGGTCCATCAGCTTGACTTGGCAGGACTCCAGTTGCTGTCCAGGTTTCTGAACATGGTCAGTCATGTCGTTGTGCGCTTTTGCGTATTCACCCATGCGGTGTTCCATGCGGACCGTCCGTTCACCCAGCTCTTGTACATCTTTCTGTAGGTCTGATATGGACCTGATGAAATTGCAAAGCAGCTTGTCGGACATGTCTTCCAAGCAGACTTAGAGTATATCTTGTGTGACTGGCAGGCCTCTAATAGTTGGAGTCTCCCCAGTGGTAACATGTCGTTGCCATCTTGCTCTTCATCTTGTGAGCTAGGGTACTTTGGTTGCTGATTATAGGCTGTAAAGAACCTATTTTTTCCCTCTTTTTCTGGATTCTTCTTCCCCTTGTGCTTAGCCATCATTGGAGTATGTTTATAGGGCTTTTGTAGGTCAATATCGCTGTAAAAGTCACTTTATTGGCCGATATAGGACGGAGCTTCACTCTCTTGCGACCGTCCGCGCCATCAGCCAGGCCACGCACCCCTATTTTATGTTATTTATAATGTGCAAAAGATACTGTATTTAATTACGTAATTATGTTATATATATATATATATATATATATATATATATATATAGTGTTTACTAGTATCTATATTCATGTGGTTTTATAGATTCTAAATGTACTAGCTGTGTGAGCATTTGACTGGACCTGCTTGGCACGAACAAGGAAGTTAGTGCTGGGCCAAATGGTTGTCAACTTAGCTGCAGAACTTAATAAGTGCATATTGTTAATTTTAACTGCCTTGTTCATGTGCATTAAATAATGCTCTTTTTTTTTTTTAATCTAGGCTTGTCTTTAATAGAAAGGTTATTTTATTTTTATTTTTTGTGGTCTGTAAAATAAAATATAAAAGTTCTCCAATCTTCTTGATATGATTTATGGTGTGTAAAATGTCATATGTTTTTTTTTCTTTTGGCACATTGCATTATTTATTCATATTTGTTTGGAAGAATCAGACCACATTTTCCTTAAAAAAAAAAAAAAAAAAAGATAAACTGTCAGTGAAATCTAATTTATTTTTACCTTCACTGACAGAAAAAAAAAATAGAATATTTACAACAAATCAATACTATTTAATTGACATTGGAAACTATCCTAGCGTAGATATATTGCTTGAAATTTTGCTAAGATTGGGGCTTCGAACTTATGGGGTAGTCTGAGGTCCCCACTCGCTCTCATATGTGTATAGACTACACCCTGTTCCAAATTATTATGCAAATTCTATATAAATGTCACAAAGATTAAATATTTTGTTTTTCAGTTTAACTCGTGGATGACATTGGGTCTCAGGGCTCTTTTGATCACTGAAAACAATCTCGGACACCTGTGATAATTAGATTGCCAGGTGAGCCCAATTTAAGGAAAAACTACTAAAGGAGGGTGCTCCACATTAGTAAGTAGAGCACCATTTTCATGCAATATGGGGAAGAAAAAGGATCTCTCTGCTGCCGAAAAGAGTGAAATAGTTCAATACCCTGGACGAGGTATGAAAACATTAGATGTTATCTCACATAATGTTATCTCACATATATATTATTCTTATTCTTATTATAGTCAAATTTGCACAGTTTTTACACTACATAGACAAAAATTTACCAAAACGTGCAGATTGTTCCCGATCGGATTGCTATTACTTTGTGGAACGTTTCAACGAATGGTTCACGGAATATCGTCGTTCTTGTGGTGAAATTTGTCCCATAGGAATGAATGGCAAAGCTAGAGTGGGAGCTGGCAAAAGCTGAAAAATCAGGATATGATTTCTAAACTGCCACCACTCCCTTATTTTCAGGCCCACCTACACAAATCTTATATCAAAACGTTCAGCTATCCCTGCTGCCACTAAACATGTCAACGGCTAAGCCATAGTCCTGATAGTTTTCACAATATAATCATTTGTTTGCAACTAATGCCGTCCATTGACATTCATTGAAACTTCATTCTACAAAGCTCAAATTTGAAGTGCACTTTCTAAACTGCAACTGTGCCTTCATTTTTAATACTTCAGAGACATACTATGCATCAAAATGTAGGTCTGGGTCTTGTGATTCTCACAATATAAAGCTCTTCGCTGTAGGATTTATAGTTTTTAAAAAACGACCGTTTGAAGATGGCAACCGCCAAAATACTCTGACCTGTGTCAAGCTGCAGCAGCAAGTGATGTCATAGACAGGGCCTTTTGAACACCTGCTAATGCTTTTATAAATGTATGGTTTAATGTAACTGTGCAACAACGTTGCAATTAAATGTGCTATATAAATGATAACAGTTACTCCGCCCACTCCAGTTGTAGACTACTGGTGGAGGCAAGAACACTTCACACAATTTCCCCAGAAATTGTAGCTTTTCTAGTTCTTATTATTCTTATTATAGCAAAATTTACCGCCCTAACTCCTCCCACAGTTTTTACACTACATAGACAGTAATATACCAAAACGTGCGGATTGTTCCCGATTGGTGTGCTGTTACTTTGTGGAACATTTCGCCGAATGGTTCACGAAATATCGTCATTCTTGTGGTGAAATTGGTCCCATAGGAATGAATGGCAAAATGTTCAAAACTAGAGTGGGAGCTGGCAAAAGCTGAAAAATCAGGACATGATTTCTAAACTGCCACCACTGCCTCATTTTCAAGCCCACCTACATAAATCTTATAACAAAACGTTCAGTTATCCCTGCTGCCACTAGACATGTCCACGGCTAAGCCATGGTCCTGATAGTTTTCACAATATGACCATTTGTTTGCAACTAACACCATCCATTGACATTCATTGAAACTCCACTCTAGCCAGCTCAAATTTGAAGGGCAATTTCTAAACTGCGACTGTGCCTTCATTTATATTTCAGGGACATACTATGCATCAAAATGTAGGTCTGGGTCTTGTGATTCTCACAATATAAAGCTCTTTGCTGTAGGATTTATAGTTTTTTAAAATATGACCGTTTGAAGATGGCAACCGCCAAAATACTCTGACCTGTGCCAGGCTGGAGCAGCAAGTGATGTCATAGACAGGGCCTTTTGTACACCTGCTGTTTTTTATAAATGTATGTTTTAATGTAACTGTGATGCACTTTGGGCAACAACGTTGCAATTAAATGTGCTTTATAAATAAATAAAAGTTGAATTGCATTTTTCACTTTATCAATATCGGCAATATCTGTATCTTTAGTGGCCGATACCGATATTGCCGAAAATATCGAATATCGGCCCATAATATCGATAAAACCGATAATTGCTCGATACCTAGTTGTAGACTACTGGTGGAGGCAAGAACACTTCACACAATTTCCCCAGAAATTTTAGCTTTTCTAGTTACAATTGCCCTCCTCAGTTCATTTGCCTCTACAGCACAGCTCCCCCTCTCTACTCCCACTGTTTGGTTAATCTACACATGACTTTTATAAGCTTATTTCAACACAGGCATCTTTTCCTTCAGGTTTTGTTAGTCTTGACTTTATGCAGCCTTACAGATTTGCCCATTTGAGTGAAGATGTTGGGAGCATAAGCTCAGGAGTAGCTGTATTGAAGGAAGTTGTTGCTTCTAGCTGCCAAGGGAACAGCCCCTCTAGTAAGGGTGAGATTGAGAATGTAAGAAAGGCTAGAGAGGTTGTGGTGGTAGGGGACTCTATTATGAAGATAATCTGCCATTCTGATAGTATCAACCAGACAATTTGCTGTCTCTCAGGTGCTCGGGTCCAGTATGTTCCTGACAGAGTGCATGGATTATTGGGAGGGGCTGGGGATGACCCGGTTCTCATGGTCCATATTAGTACCAATGACAAAGTCATAAGAAAATGGAGGGTCCTATAGAATGAGGTCAGGGAAGTAGAAAGTAAACTGAAGAAAAGGAGCTCCAAGGTAGTATTTTCAGAAATATTACCTGTGCCACAAACTACTTACACCCTAAATGGCACTGAAATATAGATATCAACATGAGGATTTGAGAATTGTTAAAGACAACAAACAAAGAAACAATGTGCAATATCAATTAACAGTTGCTAAGGCCAGTAAGGTATTGCCGTGTATAAAAAGAGGCATTGATTATCAGGATGGAAAGGATCCTCCTTAAAAATCACTGGTAAGACCACACCTTGAATATGCTTTGCAATGTTTGGCACCTCTTCTATAGAAGGATATTGTGGCACTAAAGAAGTGCAGATGCCGGCTACAAAATTAATCAAGGAAACTGAACATTTTAGCGATAAGGAAAGGGTAAAGAGACACTATTATCACTAGAACCACTGCTGTTCAATGTCCTAATGTAATGGTTCTGGTATCTATAGCCTGGCAGGCTTTTCAATGTAAACATGGAGTTTACAGTAAGAACAATAAGGATGTGGAATTCTCTGCCTGAAGATGTTGTTTTATCAGAGTTTGTACAGATGTTTAAATAACAACTAGATGAATACTTGCAAAATCATAATATTCAGTTATATGATTTTTACATTTCTTGATCCAAGAGACATCTGACTGTCATTCTGGGGTCAGGCAAGATTTTTTTCCCTAGTTTTTTGCTAAATTGGAAAGCGCTTATTAAGCAAGGCAACTCTAGAATGACAATCAATTTAGACAAAATTCAAATTGAATCAGGCTAACACCAGCAACTAATATTTAAAAATAATTAAAACAAAAAAATGTACATATCCATCCCAATAGTCACATACAGCTGCCAGTTTCTTTAGATGGTACTGTGATTGTTGTGACCTAATAAAGCAGACAAAAACTACCCTATAGTTTATCTCTAAAATATCGCCCTTCTTGGAGTGCATAGGAGTGCATCCATTGCGGAACCCTTCCCCCCAATGTTTTTCACTTAACCCCCTCCACTCCCATTCTCATTTTCCTACAGTATTGTATTCTATTGAATCCTGGATGAGTAAAAAACTGCTGAATTGTTGTCACTAATTTTCTGTTAACTAAAAGTTACTATTGTATTGCATATGGTATTGTATGACCTACCTCTCCTTACTTTAAAAAGGTGCTCAACTTACTTTTTACCAGCATTGCACATGTCTCTTCAAAGATGATTCTGCCTCCTTGGCTAAAATCATAAAATATGATTATCTCAGCCAATCCAATGATTTCCCATAGGAAACCATTGAGAGGCTATTGCGCATGCGCAGCAAAATGTCATGCTGCGCCAATCAGCATCTTGTCATAG